GCAGGGTGGCAAAATACTATTAGTATCCTCCTTGGTGCCAGAGTAGGAGCTTTGAGCTACTAACCACAAGGTCTGCAATTCCAACCAAGTCGCTCTGCTCCCTCAGAGATGTATTCTGTGAGACCCACAGGGCTGGACTTAATTTTGTCTGATCACTCTAAGTGAGAATCAACTCAGTGGCGGTGGATTTTGGGGGTGGGGGGGTGGGTCTAGAGGGAAGGCTAAGGGGTGAGGAGTGGGCTACTACTTCATGGAAGAGGGAGATGGAATTTGCCCCAAACTCCTATCCAGCCTGAGCCATGGTATACTGTGAACTTCAGAGATGACTTGATTTGAAAACACATTTCTAGGGCTTAAAAACGATTGAAAACCAGTCATTTGGTCTAACACCGCCCCACCCTTTCCATTAGCTGGTGCCGATTAAACAGAAGTACCACAAGTTGGTGGTTTTAATGAAGAGAAATGGATTTTCTTACAGCCTAGAAGGCTAGACGTCTGAATTCAGGGCCCTAAGGGGAGAGAGCCAGCTATCTTTCAGCATCAGTAGCCCCTGTGCTCCTGGATTCCTTGGCATTCTTCACGTGGCCTGGGCCTTCCGTGTGTGTGTGTGTGTGTGTGTGTGTGTGTGTGTGTGTGTGTCTTTGTCCAAACTGCTTCCTATCACTCAGAAGGGATTAGGTTTAGGACACACCCTACACAGATGTGACCGCATTACCATAACAAAGAAAACCCTATTTCCAACCAGGATTATGTCCACCAGTAGATGGTTCAGGATTCTCACACGTTTTGGAAGGCTACAATTCAGTGCATAAAACTCCTTTTTAAAACAAAGGGTGGGGAGGGGGAATAGCTTTTTTTTTTTTAAAAAAAAACAACTATGAAAGACACGATGAAACAAAAAAATACCGAGAACAAAAAGAAAGGGAATTTAGGGAAAAACCTATCAGTCTCACCGTCTTCACCTTCTGTTTTCTAACTTTTGACCCTGAATGAGGTGGGGGTTTCCCATTCAGACCATCCTCTTGGCGCTCAACCACTTAAACAACGTATTAAACTGCCCAACCGCTTGCCCTGCCTTCCCACATTTTCATCTCGTCTCCTTCTGTTTGAGCCTATTGTTGCAACCACTGGGTCAAGCCATCCATGCCTGGCAACCATTAATAGTCGGTTTCTATCTATGAGGGTGGACCTCAAAAAGTTCATGGAAAGGTGAAATTGAATGATGACAGAATTTTCCACCAAGTTAGTAAAACAAGCGCCCTTGTTTTTTGCTTGTTTCATCTGCACGAGGTCTTACACCGTTTGTTCTTTAGCGACAGACTTACCTCGCTCAGTGTCATATTTTCAAGAGCCGTCCATGTTGTCGTGGGCATAACTCCCTCTTTTTAGGGATACGGGCATAACTCCCTCTTTTTAGGGATGCGAGCAAGAGAGCTCAGAGGTGGGCAAGAAGCGTCGCCTTCACTGGTTTGCTATAAATCAACTCTATCCTTGGTCTTGCTGGTTCGGTGGGCAATTGACCTACATTCATTATCTGGAGTTCCCCTCTTTGTCCATCTGGAAGTGTACCAGGGTTCAGGGGGCTTATGTTGTACCTAAGCATCGGCAAAGCCTGCAGGGAAATCTCTTTCGATTTGTTTAGGCCAGGAGAAATTTCTCTTTCAAACACGATTTTTCTCAGTAGACTTGAACTTTGGAGAACAAAAGCCGGAAGCAGAGCGTCTATCCCCTGATAGTTCAGGGAAGGGAAGAGAACCAGTAGGGAGGCCAACGGAAGGCCGTCTCTCAGAGACTGAATCTTATGCCCAGCTAAAGTCACATGGCAGTTACGGGCCTAGGGGGTTCAGGGCCCAGTGCTCCTGCTTTGAGTCCAGGATTGGCCTTCTTTGGGCTTCGTGGACTGCGTCTTTCAAAGGGAGCTGGACCCCTGGCTCCAACAGGGTGTGTCCATTCAAGGAGCGAGAAGAACTCTGGGTAGCGTGTGCTCACTCGCCAAGCCTAAGCTTGGAAAGGGAGGAGGGTGCTTGGGAGACTCATGCTTCCTTCTCTTGACTTGCCCTGCCCCCAGACCTGGCCATAAGGGATACCTTTGTGAATGCCTCTCAGAGCCTATACGACAGCAGCCCCCGAGTCCTGAGCAACGACAGTGATTTCAATCTGGACCTCATCAATAGCTGGGTGGCCAAGAACACCAACCACAAGATCAACGAGCTGTTGTACAGCCTGCCCTCCGACATCCGCCTTGTCCTTCTCAATGCTGTCTACCTGGGTGGTAAGGTGGCCCTGGAGCAGGTAGCCTTCTCCCCATTCTGGGTTCTTCCTCCCCTCCTGGTTGCCAATCCCATGCATCTTCCACAACTCGATCCCAGTGGCCCAGCCCCAGCCCCTGTCAACAAGGCTTTTAGCCCCTCTTCATCCTTAACCCACCGGCACTGGAACTGCCCTCCACCTTCTCCTTCCTCTAGCCAAGTGGAAAACAACATTTGATCATAAAAGAACCAAGATGCAACCCTTTCACTCCAGATCTTCTGTGATAAAAGTGCCCATGATGAGTAGCAAGAAGTACCCCGTGGCCCATTTCACCGACCGGACTTTGAAGGCCCAGGTCAGTTCTTGTCCCTTCCCAGTCCTGTTTCAGAAACCCTCAAGCATCCTGATTTCCACTCTGCCATGGCCCTGTTCCTTCTGGGTCCACTCTGACAAACAGATCATTCCTCCTCCTCCCCGCTATATGCCTACCCTATCTCTTCTCTTCTCTCTGGTCTTGGCCAAAGCAGGCCATGTGTGTTTTCAACGGAGAGACAGGACTCTCCAGTTTCTTCATTCATCTCGCCTGCATCTAATGGCAAAAAGTGAACCATCTTCCTATTCTGTGCCCCTGTTTCTCTTTCTCTGAATCTATCAGGAGAGCTTGGTGACTTGGTTAAGTCTTGTGAATATGTGTCTCTGGGTACATACATGTATATAGCTATACCTGTGGATTTGGATATATGTGGTATGTGGATATGTGCTAAGTGGCCTAAGTTCCTTAGGAGAGATTGGACAATGTCATTTTTCAGTGGTTACAGAGAGAGGAAAGACAGACTATGGAGTCCAACGGATTCTAGTTAGTAAATGATCTCATGCCCTGTAACCAGACCTTTCCAGCTTGTTATTGTTGGATGCTGTTGAGTCTATTTTCGACTCCTAGCAACTCCATGTGACAGAGTAGGAACCTTCCATAGGGTTTCCAAGGCTATGGTTTGTAGGAGGAAATCACTAAGTCATTGTCTTGTAGACCTACTTATTGGGTTCTGGTTTATTGGGAGAGAAAAAACCACAGATCGATGAGGTAGAAAGCAATGGGAGACATAAAGCGACACACTCCTAGGCTAGGGAAGTGTAGGATCTGTTCGAGGAACATACCTAGCTCATTCCCACATCGGGAGCTTTTCCTTCTGCCTGGACCCCTCTTCATTCACATTAGTTTGTTCCTTCTGATCCTTCAGGTCTTGGCTCAAAGGTCACTTTGATAAAGAATCCTTTACCTTTAAAATAGCTTCCTCCCCACCCTGTAACATTGCCCAGTCTTATATTCATGGAACTTAACATTATCTGAAATTCGGCTGTTAATTTGCTTGCAGTACTTTGGGAATGAGAACCGTGGTTGTCTTATTTCCTGCTGAATCCTCAGTACTTAGAACCATGCCATGTGTGCGTTAGATGTTAACTAAGTAAACGAACTCCTGATGACATGTTGAGGGCACCACCCTAACTTAAGAGTAGATGGAACTGGGTATGAAAGTGAAGGTTCTTAATGCCAAAGGAGGAGAACTTTTAGGCACACACACAAAAAGGCTATTCATAGTTCACTGGGCAGTTTGTTTGCTTTTGCTTGTCGGGTGGTTGTTTTGTGGTGCGTTTTGTTTTTAGCTAGAATACATTCAACAGAACACACACCAAGCCAACAGATTGTACAGACAGCTTGGTGGCCTTGATTACATTCTTACTCCACTTTCCTGAGTTATCATAAACCCACATCTTCAAGTTTCCTAGCTAATCTGAGTTCTATTGTCAATTTGATCCTATACAAAGCCATCGAGGCATAACGTGTTCTGTATTGGAGTGCTAACCACAAGGTCAGCAGTTTGAAGCCACCAGCCACTTCGAGGGAGGAAGATGAGGCTTTCTGATCCTGAGCGGTTTGCAGCCTCAGAAACCCCAAAAGGCAGTTCTACTCTACCCTGCAGGCTTGCTCTGAGTCAGAACTAACTCAATGGTAGCGACTTTGGTTGGTTTTTCTTGTTTGTTTTGCTTTGGGTTAAAAGAACACTGTTCAAAGAAGACATTGTTTACTAGTAAGCTAAACTATTTATTGGTTGGTTTTAAGATGTCTTCAGGGCACATTTTCAGTTTGTGGTTTAAAGATTATCTCCGGGCAGTAGTTTCACAGGTTCATCCACTCCCTGTGCTTCAGAAAGTCTGGATTCAATGAGAATTTAAAATTCTGTCCTGCATTTCGCCCCCTTCTGATCCGGATCCTTCTGTAGACTCTTTGATCAAAAGGTCCAGCAATGGCAATGGGGCACCATCCCATTCTGGTCTCAGGGCAAAGAAGACCACTCATTGGGTTTTAAACAAACATTTAATTTAATATAGTACTGTTATACATTAAAATTCAAAGTTTTACTTAAGCCTTTTAATTTTAAGTTAAACTTGCTACCCTATTTATAGTGGAGCAATTTAAAAAAATGAATGTATGCTAACTTTCTGTTATTGTTTAATTAATTAAATCATGTTGAACAGATTAAATTCCTTTAAACCAATTCCATTTACAAACTTAATTAATATATCCATAAGCATTTCGAGTTCGCTTTATAAATCTCATATGCTTGATTTGCTTTTGAAGCACATTAAATATTTAATGGTGAAATTATAACCCTGCTAGGACATCTTCCTAAACACCTAAAGTCTATTTTTAAATTAAATTAAATTTGAAAGTGTATCAACTTCCGTTCTTTATCCCAGTATCATTCCTAATCTTACTGAAAATTTCCTAGAATTTTTAGCTTAAAAATATAAAACTAGGGCATCAAACTCTCTTTAAAATTATAAATATTATTTTAAATAGCAAATACTGTACACGGATTACCCTAAGCTTACCACCCTGTGTTAATATAATGACTATAACTGCATAATTATATGAAGTTATATAATTCAATTATTATATTATTATTCCTGGTGGCGATGTTGGGCTAGTATTGGACCCAACCCCAGGGTCAGCAGTTCAAACTCATCAGCTGTTCCAAGGGAGAAAGTTGAGGCTATTTGATCCCATAAAGATATAAAGTCTTAGAATCCATATATAGGGTCACTCGGAGTTGCAACTGACTCACTGACTTTAGTTTTGGTTTGGGTTAATGTTATGGAGTTGTGGTACTTTGCCATTTTCATATTTAATTCGAACTCTTTTTGGATATTTATCTTCTAGACTCTTCTTGTCCCCTTTTCAAGCTTAATGTTATGCCATTTTAATGGTGGTCTTATACCCTGTTAGACTTGGTATTACTGACATTTTTTAATTACATAATTCTTTCTTTTGTGGAAGCTGTCCTGTGTTCAGCATCCCAGGCTTCTAGTCACCTCAAGCATCCCCCTGCTGTCCCAAACACCCCCATTGGTAACAGCCAAAATACTTCTTGTCATGACCAAACATTTACTGAGCAGCACCTTCTCCCTGGGTTGAGTGCCAGGTGTCCTACTTCTGTCTGGCCATTAGGAAATCCTTCTAACGTCAGGTTGGAAAGGTAAGACTGGGATAAGCTTGAATGCCTTACTAAGAGATTGACACTTAATTGAGAGGGCACCCTATCTCCCCCAAGCCAAATCCACTGCCATCAAGTGAGGGGTTCCAGGACTGTAAATCTTTTTGGGAGCTGCTGGGTTTGAACCATCATCCTGTGGTTAGCAGCCCAACACCCAACCCACAGTGCCACCAGGGCTGCTTTAATCTCCAGGCAGTGAAGAGCCATCAAGAGTTTTAAGATGCAGTCACTTGCTGATAATCATGACTGGCAGTGCTATTGGCTACTGAACAAAAGGCTGGTTTTTTTAGTACCCTCCGCGACTCCTTGCAAGAAAGCTCTGGCCGCCGAGCTCCTAAAACAGCCCTTGGAAACCCCGTGGAGCACAATTCTCCTCTGACGTGCATGGGGTCACCATGGGTTAAGCTGATTCCACTGCAACTGGCAGCAAGTGGCAAGTCATTGGTGGAGTTTGAGGCCTGTCTGATGGAAACTCATGCCCTCACCTCTGCCTCTCCCCAGCACCCACTTAGACCAGCACTGCTCATCCAGTTGGCATCCCCATTAGCACATCCTGATAGCATGGTGACATAAGAGACGATGCACTCAGCTGCTAACTACAAGGTCAGCAGTTCAAACCCACCACCTGCTCCATAGGGGGGCTGGGAGAAGAAGCTTTCTACTAACCAAAGATTTACAGCTTTGGAAACCCACAGGGGCAATTCTACTCTGTTCAATAAGGTCACCATGAGTCAAAATGACTCAATGGCCATGAGTTTGTTTTTCTGGTTTGGGGTGCTAGGATTGACTGCTGGAGCAGTACAGACTCTGGCAGCTGGATTGAAGAACAGCCAGGGTCCAGGAAAGCACCAGGTGGAAAAACTGACAAGGTGTGTCTCCTGCTCTTCAGGTGGGGCAGCTGCAGCTCTCTCACAACCTGAGCTTGGTGATCATGGTGCCCCAGAACACAAAACACCACCTTGAAGACATGGAGAAGGCCCTCAACCCCCCCATTTTCAAGGCCATCATGAGGAAACTGGAGTCGTCCAGGTTTCAGCCCACCCTGGTGACGATGCCACGCATCAAAGTGCAGAGCAACCAGAACATGCTAAGAATCATGGAGAAAATGGGTGAGTGGCTGGTGGGCCAGGTGTCACTCCTTGGGTAAAGAGGAGCCCCCAAGTTTGGGTCTCCTTGTCTAGAGTGCCCTGATACGCATCCTCTCAGGCTGTCTCTCAACCCTGTGAGTTGGAGGGCCGGGGGCTGTGAATCCATTGGATGGTAGAGGAAAGTTTGCATGGCTTGCCCAAGGTTCCTGGAGCTACTTACAGGTGAACCAGCATGCAAATTCAGGTCCCCAGCTCTCTCAGCATCTGCCACTATGGTTTACTGGAACGTAAACACGGGGACAAGCAGGTGTGCAAAGTGGCTGGGGACACACCTTCCCCAGAGATGTTTCCCAACAGTGAACCACCCCCTGGCACAGGCAAGACGTTTCCTGGCTAAGACCCTCTGCAAGCATCTCGGTTTAGAGTGGCCACAGAAACCCCAATTCCTAACCTTTCCACTCCCTTCCTAGTATTTGACCTCACACTTCAGGTCCTGCTGGAGAACTTGACCGCCTGCTATACGATCCCATTCCTGGTAGATAACATCATATCCTCGTTGGTGATCTCCCTTGATCACACTCCACCCTGCTCTGATAACGTTACCTCACTTTCAAGGTCCTTGGAGGCTGGGAAGCAGTGACATCCCTTTTCAAAGATTTGATGAACGATGTCTCACCTCTTGAGAGAGTGATGGTTGGAGCGAAGATGGGCCCGCTAAGAGAGGACGCCATAACTAGACTAGATATAAAATCAGACAAGCCCTGGTGGCGCAATGGCTAAGTGCTGGGTTGCTAACCAAAAGATGGGCAGTTCTAAACCACCGGCTGTGGCAGGAGCTTGTCCAGGGGGTCCACTCACGTCAAGTTTGTCTGCCCTATGGCCAGTTCGGCTCTGTCCCGTGGGGTCATGATGAGTGAAAACTGATTTGGCAGCACCTAACAGCCACAGCAAGCAAGGGAGGAGGAGGGAGAGCGCCGCTAGGCTGTGGAGGAGCCCAGGCCATGCAGGACAAGCCTCTCCGGAAGTTGAGGGTTGTCACACGCTGTGGCTAACAAGCCTTTGTGTCCTTCTGATTATGCCCTAGAATTCTTTGACTTTTCTTACGACCTCAACTTGTGCGGGCTGACGGAAGACCCGGATCTGGAGGTGTCGGTGATGCAGCACCAGGCCGTGCTGGAACTGACCGAGTCCGGGGTAGAGGCGGCTGCCGCCTCCGCCCTGTCTGTGGCCCGCAACTTGGTGATGTTCGAGGTGCAGCAGCCCTTCTTCTTCCTGCTCTGGGACCAGCAGCACCGGTACCCGGTGTTCATGGGCCGGGTGTATGACCCCAGGGGCTGAGACCTTCGGGGGGAGGGGGGGGAAGGGGAATGGGTTGCCAAGCTCAAAGCCAGCAGCTTCTGCTCCCTCGACTTACCCCCAGCCACCTCCCACCTCAGGTGTCCTCTGGCCATCACCTGATGGGTCCCCTGGGTCTGACAAAGGGACCTGCTCCTGCTAGTCCCTCCCCCAGGCACTGCAGCTTTTTCTGGTTCAAGTTCACCAGACCACAAATAAAACCTGGCAGACCACAACTCCCTCTTGTTTGTCTTTCAATACTGTCTGGCTCAGGATTAGAAGACTGGGCTCCCAGGGTCCTTGGATCGGTTAACTATTGCTGCATCGTAACAAGTCCCTGTAAGCTTAGTGGTGCATGCAGCGACCGTCCACTATTTCTGGGTTGGCTGGGTGGCCTTGCTGGTCTAGGTTGGATCTGGCTGATCTCGGAGGGCTGGCTCATACATCTCTAAGGCTAGTGGGAGGCTTGGTGGGAACTGGTCTCACCTAGCCTCAGCTAGGGCTATGTTACTCTGCTCCCACCATCTTCCACATCTCTCTAACAAGCTTGCCTATGCTTCCGCTCATGGCAGTGGCAGAGATGATACAAACAGACGGTCTCTTTTTCACATCTGTTTGCATCAACCTGCCATTGGCCAAAGTGAGCGAGGGAAAAGACTACGGAGGGTCGAGGGCGAAGAGGGACCAAGAATATGAAGCATCCCATGGAGTGCCAGAGGAGGAACAAACCCATCTTAGAAGAAGCATAACCAGAATGCTTAGAAGAGTGGATGGTGAGATTTACCCTTACTTCAGACACGAGATCAGGAAACATCAATCACTAGGAAAGGGGTCGGCGAAAATGAGGGAAACTCTCCCTGAGGTGGATCCACACCCAGCTGCAACGTGGACTCAGAGAGACCCTGCACAGGTGTCCGTACTCATGAACCCCTTACCCCCCTGGTTATCAGAACACCCACCCAAGGTCAGCTGACCTCCTCCAACCATCTTCTAGTCCTCAACTACACGCTGGGGACATTCTGAAAAACAGTACGGTGAAGACCATAAATAGACTTTGGGACCAAGGCTTGGCTCCCCATCAGACTCGACCGGAAAACACTCCTAAAGGCCAACAAACAGTCCTTGAACTAACTACAGGTTTTTCTTTGTTGTTGTTGTTTTGTCATTAGTTTTTTGTTGTTTTCATTA